TAGTCAACCGATTAAAAATATCTTCTGGTTGAAGATATTTTGTGGGTAATTTTAAAGCAAGACAAACATTCTTTATTCATCAAATACCAACATTAAGAAAAAGTATTTCAAAAGACTCTGTGATTGCATTTGCAAAAGACTTTAATTACCAGCTATTATTAGAAGGATTTCTACCAGGAAATTGTGGAAGCAGGGTGTCAATTGATTTTTATTAATTACACCACTGAAAAGCTAGTGTTCTCCCTCCTCTGCATGCAACTCCTGCACAGCTGAGGATAACAGAGTTGTCCAACGCACATGTGCCCTGCAGAGTGAAGCCTGTCAATAAGGCAGCCATAAAGCCACACTTGTGAAGCTGCTGAGGAGCAATGTTTCCATTATGCTGACCAAAACAGACACTTTGATACAGCATTTACACTGCTGGCAGAAATACGTCCAGTACACATGTGGTGCATTTAGACTGCTTTTGCGCAAAAATTTGCCAGCTGTCTACACTGGCCGCTTGAATCTGCGCAAGAGCACTGACATTCTAATGTAAGAATTCAGTGCTTCTTGCGCAAATACTTAGACGCTCCCGCTCAGGGATAAGCCCGCTTGCACAAGAATACTTGAGCAAGAGGGACAGGCACCTTAATTTTTTGCGCAAGAAAGCCCGATGGCTAAAATGGCCATCAGAGCTTTCATGTGCAAAAGCGCATCTACACTAGGCCTGGATGCTTTTGCGCAAAAGCACTTTTTGCGCAAAAGCATTCGTGCCAATCTAGATGCTCTTTTGCGGAAATACTTTTAACGGAAAAACTTTAAACTCCATGCCAATCTAGACGCAGCCATGGAGTCTCAGATTCTATGTGTAATCAAGCAAAATATAACTGTCAGTTAGCTGAGAGGAAAGTTAGAGACTCTCCCTTCTGCAAAATAAAATATCAAGTCTCTAATCATTTTTTAAAATCCTTAGCTCTCTGCTTAATCTTGAAAAGAGACTCTTGAAGAGATTGAAAACACTGGTATGAAATAATTAAACACCAATAGACCTGATCAAGAGATAAAAGAGTAAAAATCTCTTATGAAACTAAAAATGCTCTTTAGATGTTTTGAAGTTCATAAAGGCACTCCCAACGAAGTGTTTGCTGTATATGTGGCTGGTTTGGGCCCCAAAAAATGGATTCAGAAATAGAATGAAGCTTCTCTATTTAGAGGCTCCATATACGGAAATAAAAGCAGCTAATGTTTAGGCCCCCTACTCAGTTGTTAGAAGCAACACCAATTTATAAGCAGTGGGTGAACCCTTAACCTTCTTCCATATCATGAAATATTAAAATTAACATACAACCTAGAAAAAAAAGTCTGACTCATACTATGATGTTTTTAAAAATCCCCTGAATTTCCATATGTGGAGAAAGAAGTGGGGATTTTAGGAGGAATTTACCATTGAGCAGAGTTTTAGTAGGAGAGTTCAGGGACATTACAGTATATCATACATGGGGTTGTGTGTGAAAGGCACTAGGGAAGTTAGTGCATGACAAAGGGATAAGTGGGTGGAGAATTCTGGGAATACTGCTGGAATGAGGGGATGTGGTTACAGGAAGGATGGAGGAGGATAAGTAGGTAAAGGCAGAATTATACGGAGCTATAGAGATGGTGACAAGAAGCTTAAATATGACATGCTGGTAGGGAGCCAGGGGAGGGACACAAAGGAGAGTGATATGATCAAGCAAACAGGCAAGCAAGCAAGAGGATCTGCCAGATGCATTTTTTAATAGACTGACGGGGGCCAAGATTTAAGCTAACTCTTGCCAGGGAAATCCAACAACCCTGATTGAGGTGTAGATTAGGAACAGCTGCTCAGTCATTGGCATTCTGGAGAATTACAGAACACTGCCGTTTTGAAACTAAGGGACTCAAGAAAACTGACACAGCATTTAGCTCGCGGCTCAGAGAATGTCCTGATTTCTTTGCAGCTGGGGAGACTTTCTCAGAGGCCACTGTGCAATTCAGTCAAAGCCTTTTAGTACCAGCTCTGGGACTAGAGACAACCTCTGCATTGAGAAGCTTCCAACAATTTGCTTTACACACCAGAGCTAACCAGATTTTTATTGCTAGGATGTCAATAATATAAGACTAGAGGTCTCCAAGGGTGAGACTATCTGCTTCATAGTAGTGTCTTTAGGCTGGGTGGAGATGGAAAAATCTTCCCTGCTCCATTCTATTCCTTCTGCACTGAAGGAAAACCAGCACTAGCCTGGTCCAGTGATACTGAGGATCCTTCCACTTAGAGAAGTGCCTAAATATAAGGGATGCCCATGGCCAGTAAGTCAGTGCCTGACTGTAAAGTGCTACCAGTAGCCAATGCTTCTGGCATGCTTGTGTGTTTCCTTCCCATACATTTCTTTTGGACAGGTGAAATCTGTTATCTTCATTCTCTAAGCTACTATTCTTGCCATATTTAAATCCCCCCTAAAGACTCATGTCTTCCATGGCACCCACAAAGGAATCATGGGTCTGAAACCCTCCAAAAGCTGCTCCTTCCACTGTCTCCTGCTTTTTTGAATCTAAGCTCTTCAGAGTAGGGATGTAAATAACATGTAAGAACAATGAACTGATAAAAAAATCATTCAGTTACATGGTTAAACATTTAACTGGGAAGCTAGGGTTGCAGGGGATGCTGTAGCACCCTAACATTTTATGTGGGGATCCCAGGCGCCAGGTTCGTGCACCTGTAGGTTCCAGCTACTGCCCACGGTCCTGACATCCTGGTGTGCCCATTCTCCTGGCTGTTGGCCCTGCATGACCAGAGCCCCAGCTGCCAGCCCTGATCCCAGCATCCCAGCTGCCAGGACCCTGGGTGGAGTTTAATCAATAAACTGATTACACTTTTACATTCCCCTTCAGAGCTCCACTAATGTAACTAATATAAATTATAACAATTCCAATTGAGCAATACTACATCATAGGGAGTCAATAACCGTTGGGACTGCCAGGATAAGGCAAAAACTGTCCTTCCACCTTTGATTTCAGGGAGTCTCACAGGTGTAGCTGCTCTCTTCAGGCTAAATGGTCACTTCCCCCTTAGCTGCAGGAGTTTTCACCCTCTCTCCAGCCCCTGATGCCCGGCTTCCACAAAGCCCTTCACCACTTGATTCAGAAGCTTTTTTTCTCCTGTTGCATGGGGGACTGCCAGCAGTCCTTGATGTCGTGAGCATTGCTAGTACTGATGATTCAAAGAAATAAATAAAAAGCATTCTCTCCACAGTGCTGTGGTATCATAGGTTCAACTTACAGTCAACAATTACTCAGCCTGTCTGGGTTGAAATGACAGTAAGGAGGCTGCAGCAGAATCAGAGTACTGTCTTTGGACTGTTTATGTAGCATTCATAAGCAAAGTACTTCCACTGCATATTCGGAAGGTCTGGTCACCTCAACATAAATGCACCCTAGAATTGTAGAGGCACAGAAATGAGGAAAAGGTACTTTTAGGGAAGCAGCCCTTCTAACCTATCAGTTCAGAGACTTCACTGGAGTCTCCCCAGTTATCTCCAGCATTAGAAGGTGAAAAATATGCCTCAAGGTCAATGTTCCCGCCAATCTTTTCCATTCATATGTGTTTTTTTTCCATCCTTGTGTGGAATAATTGTTATGTGCACTGAAGTATGTGAAAATGTGCACCACCATTAGAAACAAAGAAACCTAGCCGTGGGTGCTCTGCTAATCAGCTGGGCAGCATTTGAATCTCTCCTGAGTGTCCACACAAGCGCAATTTACAGGGAAAAGTACCAAGGCAGCAAAGAACAAGTGGGACTTTGGAAAAGGAAAACAAAGACCCTTTCCCTCCCCACAGGAAATGTGCTAGGCCTAGTTTTGACCTGGGAATGTTGCTGAGGGCACTGCTGATGTTAGTAAGGTCTCTAAGAGTATGTCTACACTGCACGCTTATTTCAAAATAAGCTATTTTGGAAGAAATACTCTAAAATAGCTTATTTCAAAATAGCGTCTTTACACTACAAGAAAGCCTCAAAATTAGTTCCCCTAATGTGGATGCAGTTCCTGAGTTTAGAGTCCCAACAGCCACTGGGGAGAAATTACTTTGAACGGCCCTGGAGAAGAGCTATTTCAAAATAGCAGCAGTGGAATGTTCAAAATAGCAGTGGAATAGCTATTTCGGAACAGGCATTATTCCTCATGGAATGAGGGTTACAGAAGCTGGAATAAGCCATCCATTATTTCAAAATTCTTCTGAAATAATGCTGTAGTGTAGAAGCACCCTAATTGACGTCATTTGAGAGAGAGAGAGAGTAAGGGAGGCCAGTGTTTAGCAAATGTGGGTCAGTCAATTATTTTTTATTTCATGGAAGGTTACTGTCAAACTATTTATTTATTTATTTATTTATTTATTTATTTATTTATTTATTTATTTATTTATTTATTTATTTATTTATTTATTTATTTATTTATTTATTTATTTATTTATTTATTTATTTATTTATTTATTTATTTATTTATTTATTTATTTATTTATTTATTTATTTATTTATTTATTTATTTATTTATTTATTTATTTATTTATTTATTTATTTATTTATTTATTTATTTATTTATTTATTTATTTATTTATTTATTTATTTATTTATTTATTTATTTATTTATTTATTTATTTATTTATTTATTTATTTATTTATTTATTTATTTATTTATTTATTTATTTATTTATTTATTTATTTATTTATTTATTTATTTATTTATTTATTTATTTATTTATTTATTTATTTATTTATTTATTTATTTATTTATTTATTTATTTATTTATTTATTTATTTATTTATTTATTTATTTATTTATTTATTTATTTATTTATTTATTTATTTATTTATTTATTTATTTTAATATTTTTACCCCGCCTTTCTATTTAAAATATTCAAGGTGGCCTACAAGAACAAACAAACAAAAAAAAATACAAATATATATAAAAATTTAAAATATGAGAATTTAAAATATGAGAGCAAACTATTAGAACAAAAGAGGTAATAAATCTTGTCACCAGCCCCACTACAAGGTGTGTTTGCATTCACTGTGCTTTCCTTCTCCTTTTGAGATGTTTGGTGATGTGCTGGTTGTGCCATGAATTCAGAAGCAAGCGCTATAGGTAGCCAAGCAGTAAGTATAGGCTCTAGCCTTCCTGCGAGGAAAAAAAGGGGTTATTTCAAGAGAAAACCCTTTCCTCAAAATAACCCTTAAACCTCATTTCTTTCTCACACTAGTGCTATTTCACCATAGCGCCAATCCGCAATTATGTAAATGAAGCGTGGGATATTTAAATCTCCACTTCATTTGCAGTTTTGGATGTCTACATTTGCATTCCTCTCGAGAGAGAGAGAGGAATGAAGTGTAGACATACCCTAAGGTACCACAGCACTACTCCTTACTTTTAAAGAAATCAAGAAATGCATATCTTGTGGGACGGATTTACTTACTTGTTTATTCTCTAGAGGTCATTTTGATACTAATATTGGAATGAAATGGTCTTTGCTGTTAAATACAATTTTATACAGCATTCAGGCTCTCCCCTTTCCTTGCTCACTAGCTCTCTATTTAAACAATAAGGCCATTTCTTTTCCCCTTTTCTTTTCTGCCAGTCCTGTGCTCTACTGGTCAGAATGTTTCCAGTTTTTGTTCTGGAAAGTGACAAACCTGTACTGTTTTTCAGCCAAGGAAAGAGCAATGAGCACACCTTCAACAGTGCTGAACTTCTGACATTAATCAAACTATCACTTTACCCAAGTTCCTGGAGGTAAAGTGACACCACCATGCTGAGAGGATTGTGGAAACCAGCAGGCACAAACAATTTAGCTAAGCTTTGCGAAATGCCAGGGCCTCTAGTCAGAACTTCCCTTGTCTGGCTAAAATCTATGGCTGAAAATAAACTTCGCTTTCAAAGGAAGGCCCTGGTAAAGTGCTCTGGGTGCTTGTGGTATATAATCAGTGGAGTTGTGTATTCCTTCCTGAACCTGCAAAGTTCCAGCTGTCAATCATACTCTGGCTGCTGGCCAGGATTCTCTTAGAGACCCTAGTTACACATTTACCCTGTGTGTAGATTGTTCTGGGTAGTCTGGCAATGTACATCCTCGTTTTTAAAGGCAGCTAGCAGTCATTTCACACTTCAGGCAGTCTGCAGGCCAAAAGTAAATTCAGAAGCTATTTAAGTCCTGAAAGGAAATAAACAAATTGGCAGCAAAGTTGGAGGTCTGTCCTGTGGCTGCATTTCTGCAAGGTGCAGACTGAGAATTCTGCCCTGACAGCATCTCTCTGTTCTCTGTGCAATTTGACACTAGTCATGCTTCCAGTGAGAAAACTGAGACAGGAACTCTAGCAGGATAGCTATGGTACTGTAGCTTTGCTGACATCACCCTGTAGTATAGATGCAACCCAGGAGCAGTGTGTGAACCACCAGCCCACCCCTTGTTACTTAAGACCTGCCTCTTCCATGCCCCCTGCAGGAGTCCAGAGCCCCCCTCACTGTGGCCATCGCTTCCCACTCTAGGCTAGCTCCCCCAAACCCAGAGGGGTGGCAGCTGGGTGGCATGTGGCCCTGTCCCTGCAGATCCAGAGCATCAGAAGGGTGGGTGGTGTAGTCCTAGCCCCAGCCAGGAGCAGGACTGGGAGACTGGAGCCGCATGCAGACTGGAAAGCGGAGCAATGCTGGGGGCAAAGCGTGGGCAGGGTCTTGCCTGATTGTTTGGGGAGGCACAGCCTCCCCCCACCGATGTTACCCACTGCCCATGATGCAATGTATAGCAACCGGGTGTGTGGTGGAGTTCTGTTGCTGTAGGACCACCACCTCGCTGAGTGATGGCAGCCACGTCAATGGAAATATTCTCCTGCAGACCAAATTCCATCTACACCAAGTAGATTTTTCACCCTGCTGAGTGCCAGAGCTACATTGACTTAATTTTAAGTCTCGACCAGGCTTCTGCGTCCTGGATCTGAAAGGGTGTCAGTGCAAATGGGTTGATTGGGTTCACACAGTCTTGCTTTCCAGGGAAGTTCATTGGCCCAGGCTTGCTTGAAAGATGGCCTGAGTTCACTGAGTCCAAACAATCCATTGTTGCTGGATTGTTAGTCGTTTATGGCAAAGCAAAGTTTGTAAGAGTGAGTGCAAAACAGTGCTGCATGGATGTGGTAGCATTTTATTGACATGTTGCACTGATGTTGATGATGACATGATGAATGGGAAGTAACAGAGGATCTGGCCTCAGGTTTGCTGCACTTCCATGAATTTTCTTTTTTCTTGCAGGTTTAAGTCAGAGTCCCACAGAAAATGCACTTACCATAAACAGAGTAGGTTGGGCTCCTAACTTTCTGAGCAGTTCTGAGCTGAGTTTGAGTAGATCTGGGGCTCAATATGAAGTGAAGCCCATAGACTTTTAGGAAGATGAGTTATTAAGTCCAATTGGACAAACTGTAACTGCTTACAAAGAAAAATTTAGCGGAGCTGAACCAAAACCATATTGGACCCCATAGTATCAGTGAGGCTCTGGTATCTAGAGGCATTTTGTGCCAAGGAAGGGCAGAGATATTGGGCCATCATGCTCCCAATCTTGGAATGGGAGAGGCATCCACTCTTAGAGGTCAACTTTAAGTGAATTATTGTCATGGATTTTTAGGGCTTTGTTTACAGAGGCTGAGCACATGGTAGTCAGTGCATTTTCTGGATAAGCAGGGGCAAGCACCCTTTCCTACTGCAATCACATGCCTTGGGAACTGAATTGGCCAGCTATGGGGCCCTTGTTAGAGCAGTGGTACAGATGAACCTTTGCAAACTTGGAATAAACAGATAGATAGCCAGGAAAGGTAAACATGAATTATACTGGCTGCAGCAGGTCCTCCGATGCATGTATGCAAGCAAGGACAGAATTGAATTATAACACGGAGATATTAAAGTATGAATTGTTGACGTGTCAGGATACCATCACATCAGCTTTTGTAGGAGTTAGAGATTGCGCACCATTGCATGCCTGGAGACTGTAGCTCATGGATCATAGACCAGATACTGCTGATGCAAACCTATAAGACATGTTTCTTTGGGCACCATTGCTATTATGAGAGGCTTTCTAGCTGAGATGTAGTGATCCTATTAGCTTCAGACTCCCTTTGCATGGTAAAGCTGAATACTAAAGTAATCTCTGGGATATTTTTAACTGGCAGAAAAAATCCCTCTTGTGCTGTAATCTAATGGGTTACAATAAATTCATTTTGGGGTCTTTTAAAATTTCCAGGCAGCACAGGTAATTAATCCCCATTATTGTTTCATGTCATGCAAGATTTCAATCTATCCCCCAAATAGATTTCCACATTATGGACTAATATCCTAGTACAACATTTGAATTGAGCATCCTGGATTTCCTGTGATCCATGCTATGACAAACTCTCATAGGCTATGTCTAGACTATGGGGTTTTATTGGGAAAATGTGTGTACCTTTTTCCAACAGTTTTGTTGGAGGTGTCAATGGGCCAAATTTTAGAAAAACCTCCTCTTTTGGAAGAGCCCTTCTTCCTCGTGGAAGGAGAAAGACAGGGCTTCCGAAAGAGGGTG